AGAGAGAGAGAGAGAGAGCGATCAACCTCTCGGCTGACCTCTCCACTAACCCCCCCTCCCCGCCTCCCGTCTATCGTCACCGCAGATCTACGCGTGCCAGTTCAGCCAGGACGGCGAGTGGTACCGCGGGCGCGTGCTCAAAAACCACGGCAACGACAGCATCTTCGTCGGATTCTGCGACTTCGGCAACACGGAGGAGACGACGCTCGATAAGCTGCTAGTGCTGCCACCACCGCTGTTCTGCGTTCCCGCGCTCGCGGTGAAATACGCGCTGACGCGACTGGAGGAGGTCGGCGTGGAGGAGGACCGCATGAAGCACAAAGAGGTGGGTGGGTGTCGAAAGGGGGGGGGTCGCGTCTTTTTTTTTTATCGATTTAATTTTAGTCGCTGCGAATCTAATGCATTTATTTAATGTAATGTAATGAATAATTTTGGCAGGCAGGGAATCGTTACGGCGTAAAAAAAAATTTGAGCGGTTCAATTTCGAGGCAAAATTTTAATTTTGGTGGGTCTATAATCTCTTAACGTGTAACCTTGGTTCTAGTAATGCGGACCCTGACGTTAACGTTTGGATCAATCACGTGTTGCAGGGCATCGAATTCCTTCGCTCCTGCTGCAGCTGGGTATTAGCCAGAATTAAGTATTGTGGGAGTGCAAAAAAAATATTTGGGAGTGCAATTTTACAAATGTACAAGGCTTTCGATCAATATTTTAGGCCGTGCTACACATTTTTGCTCGTGCAGTTTCAAAACTGACCGTGCAAATCACGGCTGCACGGCTCGCTGGCTAATACGTTGCTTCCACGACAGGGTTTTTATTAATTTTAATTTACGTTACCGCCACGCGATCGCTTGTTGCAGGGCATCGAGTTCCTCACCCGTCTCACCGCCGCCAAAGTCCTCGAGGCGAAGATCTTCCAGGTTCCCGGGGTCGGGGTCACCGTCGAGGCTCTCATCGATGACGGGGTCAACGTGGGTCAGGAGGTGCTGCGCCAAGGCTACGCTCGACGACAGGTACGTCTCGCCGCCAGGGGGCGTCGCGCGCGAGCGTCGCTCGTCGGAATTTCGTCGATCGAGATTTTCCGGGGTGCGTAGCGGTAGACACGCGTCCGATCTTCGTTTCCGAGATTTGTCCAAGGTGGCGCCACCGCTCACGCGCGCGTCTGATCTCGCGTTTCAGTCGTTCGTGCCGAGCCAGCAGGCGATCGCGCCACCGCTGCGACCTCACCACCAGATGGCGCCGGCGCCGCGGCGGGCGTCGCAGACGAGCGAGGACTCGTGGCCGGCGTGGGACGCGGGGCCGCCGGACGTGTGGGACGCCGACTCCGCCGCCGCGCCGCCGCAACCGCGGTACAACCTGCCGGAATACGGCGACCGATTCACAGAGGGCGCCGCCGCGACGCCGAAAAACAGCGGCGACTCGTCGGAGGCGGACTACGGCATGTTTGTCGCCACGGCGGCGGGCGGGTACGGTCATCGCGACGACGACAACAACGCACCCGCCGCCGTCGACGGCTGGGGAGCACCCGTCGCCGCCGGCGCCCACTGGGGGGCGCCGGAGGGCGGGCGAGCGCCGAGCATCGAGTACTGGCAGGGCGTGCCGGGCGAGAAGGCAGTCGGTGGCGCCCCCACGCCGGCGGCCTGGCCGACGAACGAACAGGGGATCGGGACGTGGGACAACGCGACTGGCGCGCAGACGCCGGCGCCCCCGCGTGGTGGAGGAGGGAAGGCGGAGCAGCGGGAGGAGGAGAGAGGAGGAGGAGGAGGGTTTCCCGGACAGATGCAGGACAGCAGGAGGTGAGGAGGCGAGGCAGGCTCGAGTGTATATATATATACATGTACATATACAC